CGCAGCCGGTAGCCACGTAGGGTTTAGGGTTTAGGGTTTAGGGTTTAGGGTTCATCTGCTGCTGCTGACTTCCATATCAAGTCCTTCATTCCACCGCGCCTGGCGATCCATGAGCGTCTGCAGCAGCAGCAGCAGCAGCAACAGCAGCAGCAACAGCAAAAGCAGCAAATGGATTCGCCGCTGCTGCTGTCATATCACCAGCCCTCGAGAGCCTGCAGTCTAGGGTTTAGGGTTTAGGGTTTAGGGTTTAGGGTCTTACGAAGTAAACGTGCGCAAAGACAGAACGGACGTGGCCGAAGTTGAAGGAGTTCCGCCCTATGTCCAAACTGGGATCCTGCAGCAGCAGCAGCAGCAGCAGCAGCAGCAGCAGCAGCAGCAACAGCAGCAGCAGCAGCAGCAGCAGAAGTCCATGTGTTGGTTATTTTGAGCAGCTTCTTTTGCACTTCGCCGTGGCTCTTCCTTACTCCTACAATTGCTGCTGCTGCTCTTGCTGTTGCTGCATTTGCTACTGTTGCATTTGCTGCTGCTGCTGCTGCTGCTGCTGCTGCTGCTGCTGCTGCTGCTGCGTGTGCCCTACAAGAGGACTCTCCATGCAGAACCTTTGCGGGTGAGGAGTGGCCAGCAGCGAGCCGCCTTTTGCTGCTGCTGCTGCTGCTGCTGCTGCTTGCGCCTGCTTCGAAAAGATGTGTCCTCCCCCACGGACGCTGAGGCGCAGCAATGCTAAACCCTAAACCCTAAACCCTAAACCCTAAACCCTAAACCCCACACGCTTCGCCGCGAGTCGCCAGCCAGCCAAGATATACGGAAATCCAATGCCACCCTCCGCAGCAGCAGCAGCAGCAGCAAGTGCAGCAGCAGCAGTAGCCTCTTCAGCAGCAAAGGAGCTTCCATATGCATCCCCAGCATGCCCAACAGCAGCAACCGCAGCAGCAGCAGCAGCACCAGCACGCCCAGCAGCAGCAGCAGCAGCAGCACCCCAGGAGCAGCAGCAGCACCCCAGGAGCAGCAGCAGCACGCCCAGGAGCAGCAGCAGCAGCACCCCCGCAGCAGCAGCAGCAGCAGCAGCGCCCCCCGCAGCACCCCGCGCAGCACCCCGCGCCGCAGCAGCAGCAGCAGCAGCAGCAGCAGCAGCAGCAGCAGCAGCAGCAGCAGCTGACCAGCCGCCCCAGCGCTCGACGTCCCACTCCAAAGAGTAGAAGTGAAGAAACTCCAGAAAAAGATGACTCAGCAGCAAACTGCGCTGCGCCTCAGCAGCAAAGAGGCTGGGCGCCAGGTGTACGTACAGCAGACACATGCAGAACAGCAGGTAAGACCCCACACCGCCCCGGTAGGTCTCCCCCAGGTTCCGCTGCAGCAGCAAACCGCACGCCAGCAGCAGAAGCTGCAGCAGCAGCAGCGCAGCAGCAGCAGCAGCAGCAGCAGCAGCGAGCGCGGCGAGAAAGGCAGCCGCGGGGGCTGGCTGAGACGGGAGCAGCGGCGACGCGGTGCAGCAGAAGCTGCAGCAAGACGAGCAGCAACGCCTGCAGCAGCCGCTGCAGCTAAGCAGCAGCAGCAGCAGCAGCAGCAGCAGCAGCTCACCACTTTAAGTAGAAGCTTGATGCAGAGCAGAAGAGGCTTCAGCACAGGGTATCGCCGCAGCTGCAGCAGCAACAGCAGCACTTCCGGCAGCAGCAGAATCCAACGCAGCAGCAACAGCAGCACTTCCCGCAGCAGCAGCAGCAACAGCACAATATTCCCTTACACCCCAGTCAGCAGCAGCAGCAGCAGCAGCAGCAGCAGCAGCAGGCAGCAGCAGCAGCAGCAGCAGCAGCAGCAGCCAAGCAGCAGCAGCAGCAGCAGCAGCAGCAGCAGCAGCGCAGCAGCAGCAGCAGCAGCAGCAGCAGCAGCAGACGCACAGCTTTGCGGATGAGGCGCGTGGTGCTTGCTGAGGACTGCTGCAGCAAAGACACGTCAGCAGCAACTCCTGTTGCTGCATCCACATACTTCAAAATGGGGACTCGAGCCCCATCCACCACTTTGAGGGTTTGGCAAACCCCCAGCTGCTGCAGCGCAGCGCCCAGCAGCTCCAGGCTCGCCACCGTCTGCTCCCGGCTCACGCTGCTGCTGCTGCTGCTGCTGCTGCTGCTGCTGCTGCTGCTGCTGCTGCTGGTGTCCGCGCTGCTGCTGCTGCTTCCGCCGCCCCCGCCAGGGCTGCTGGCTTTGCCGCTGCCCGGGCTGCTGCTGCTCGCGCTGCTCTCCTTCCCGCCGCCGCTGCTGCTGCTGCTGCTGCTCTCGCTGCTGCTGCTGCTGCTGCTGCTGCTGCTGCTGCTGCTGCTGGGGAAGTCGAAGTAGCAGCGGGGAAGCGAAAGAGCAGCGTCGAGGTCCGCCCCGGGAAGCGCCAGGCCTGTGGCTTGGGAGCCGAAGAAGCAGCAGCTGCTGCCAGGAAGTGCTGCTGCTGCTGCTAGCTGCAGCCGTGCTGCTGCTCGCAGCCGCTGCTGCTGCTCCACGGCGCTCGGCTGCAGCAGCTGCAGCAGCTCGTACAGCTCCAGGTGCAGCGCCGTGTAGAAGCACCGCGGCGGACTCTGCTGCTGCTGCTGCTGCTGCGGCTGCTGCTGCTGCTGCTGCTGCTGCTGCTGCTGCGGCTGCTGTTGCTGCTGCTGCTGCTGCTGCTTCCATGGGGGAACAGAGGCGGACGCAGCAGCACTAGCAGCAGCAGCAGCAGCAGCAGCAAAGCCTCGCTTCTGCCGCTTCTCTTCGCGCTGCACTTTTGGGGCAGAAAAGTCGGACACAGAGAGCCATGCGTCCGCTGTTTCTTCTGCTGCTGCTGTTGCTGCTGTTGCTGCTGTTGCTGCTGTTGCTGCTGCTGCTGCTGCTGCTGCTGGAGCAGCTGCCCTTGCTTGAGAACGCGAAGCGAGCGACTGCTGCGGACACAGCAGCAAAGGATGAAGGCAGCAGCAGCGTAGACCCAGCAGCAGCAGCTGCAACACCATCGGCAGAAGCAGCAGCAGCAGCAGCAGCAGCAGCAGCAGCAGCAGCAGCAAACTCTCACCTTAACATTCTTGGCGAAGTTAGTTTGCCGCTGCGGTGTATAGGAAGCATCCAGCAGATATGCTTCGGGGCCCAGGGCCTGCAGCTGCTCACTTAGCTCCCAGGACTTCACGTCTTTGCTGCTGCTGCTGCTGCTGCTGCTGCTGCTGCTGCTGCTGCTGGTACTGCCATCGCTGCTGCTGCTGCTGGCGCTGCTGCTGCTGCTGCCGTTGCTGCTGCTTGTGTTGGCGTTGCTGCAGTCGCTGCTGCTGGTGTTGCTGCAGTCGCTGCTGTTGGCGTCCCCGCTGTTGCTGCTGCTGCTGTTGCTGCTGCTGGTGTTGCTGCAGTCGCTGCTGTTGGTGTCCCCGCCGTTGCTGCTGCTGCTGTTGCTGCTGTCGCCGTTGCTGCTGCTGCTGCTGCTGCTATTTGGGGACCCGGCGGGCGAAGAACTCGCGATCGCGGCACTGCTCATCTCTTCTTCTGTTTTGCTGCTGCTGCTGCTGCTGCTCGCAGCAGCAGCATCAACGCTGCTGCTCATGGGGGCTTCTTGTGCTGTGCTCCCGTGGAGCAGCAGCTGCTGCTGCTCTTGCTGCTCTTGCTGCGCCTAGTTGCTGCTGCTGCTGCTGCTGCTGCTGCTGCTCGAGTTGGTCCCGAATCCGGCGCAGAAGTCAGCGCTGGTTCTCCGTGTCTGGTGGGAGCAGCAGCAGCCGTTGTTGTTGCTGCTGCTGCTGCTGCTGCTGCTGCTGCGCTCTTTTCGCTGCAGCTGTAGGAGTCTCTAGTGTAGAAAGCGTCTGTTACGCTGTCAGCTCTGCTGCTGCTGCAACAGCGGCAGCTGCTGCATCTGCTGCTGCTGCTGCTGCTGCTGCTGCTGCTGTCTTAAGTGGCTGCAGCGCAGCAGCGGGTCTCCTGAGAGCCCGAAGGAAGCAGCAGCAAGAAAATAGAAGCTAATTAATTTAAAAACAAATTTAAAAACAAAATTAATTAGTTTGTTTGCCGTTTTTGCTAACGCATGCACGCCTTAATGCCCTGCTGCTGCTGCTGCAGCTGCTGCAGCTGCTGCTGCTGCTGCAGCTGCTGCAGCTGCTGCTGCTGGCTGCATGCAGCAGCAGAGTACCATTTCGGAGACTCTTCAGCTGCTGTCTCCGCTGCTGCTAATTTGGCCGCGGGAGACAAAGAAGACTAATGCTGGATGCAGGTTTAGGGTTTAGGGTTTAGCGCTTAGGGTTTAGGCTCTAGGGTTTAGGGTTTAGGGTTTAGGGTTTAGGGTTTTCCGCCGCCGCAGAAGGACGCAGTGCAGCAGCAAAGAAGCAAAAGAGACGAAAAAGAATTTCTTTCTTTTTTATTTTAGATCAGCAAAGAAGAGAAGAAATAAAAGGAAATAAAAAGACAAAAAGGCAAAAAGCGGCAGTAAAGAAAAAGATTTCAAAAAGAAACAAATATAAACAAAAAGATATTTTAAAAATAAAAATAAATTAAATAAATAAAAAGAAAAAAGATAAAAAGATAAAAGACACTTTTGCAGACAGGCGGCAGCTACGAGCGCATGCAGCAAGCCGCAGACGCCGGCAGCAGCAAGATGCTGCAGCTGCAGCAGCAGCAGCAGCAGCAGCAGCAGCAGCGGCAGCAGCAGCAGCAGCAGCAGCAGGATGCGGCGGCGCTCCCACAGGCAGGTCCTCTAGCCTTCATAGTCCTTAAAGCCTCCGCGGGCAAGAGAAGACACTGCAACGACACACGCTGAAACACCTGCTGCTGCTGCTGCTGCTGCTGCTGCTGCTGCTGCTGTTGCTGCTGCTGCTGTTGCTGCTGCTGCTGCAGTGGGCGCGGCTGGGGAGCCCGGGGCAGCTTTTTGCCCTCGGCGAGCCTTGAGGAGCTGGACGATTACTTGTCGCATCTCTACGAAGAAAGACAAGTGACAATCTTGCTGCAGCTGCTGCTGCAGCTGCTGCTGCTGCAGCTGCTTCCGCTGCTGCTGCTGCTGCTGCTGCTGCTGCTGCTCCGGGGTTTAGGGAACCTGCTGACAGAAGCGTAGCCCGCGAAGTGCCTCCGCTGGTGCTGTTGAACGGCTGCTGCTGTTCTGTTGCAAGCATTGCTCCCGGGGATATTTGTTGCTGCTGCTGCTGCTGCTGCTGCTGCTGCTGCTGCTGCAGGCTGCCCAGACTGCGGGGGCCCTTGCTGTGCTGCGGCTGTCTCTGGAGGAGGCTCACAAGGAGACGCTGCAGCAAAACCCTGCTTTGATCCGCTTGCTGCTGCGGCTGCTGCAGGAGCAGCAGCAGCACATCACTGCAGGCAGCAGCAGCAGCAACAGCAGCAGCAGCAGCAGCAGAAAGCGAGGCAGCAGCAAAAGTATATATTTGGGACTTCTGGTGTCCCTACCACTTCTTGTCTTTTCCTCCAGCAGACGAGGCAGGGATGTCCTCAATAGTTGCGGCGTAGGCTGCTGCTGCTGCTGCTGCTGTTGCTGCTGCTGCTGCTATTGCTGCAGCTTTTGCCCTGCTGCTGTTGCTGCTGCTGCTGGCAACGCCCCTGCTTCTTGTTCGTTTCCAATGGCCTAAACGTTGCTGCTGCTCAAGCGCAGAGGTTGCTGCTGCTGCTGTCCTCGTGCTGCTACAGCTGCCGCTGCTGCTGCTCTTGCTGCTGCTGCTCTTGCCCTTGTTTCTGCTCTTGCTGCTGCTGCTGCTTAGGCGGGGCAATCCCTTGTGGGCTTTCTTAAAGAGGTTGGAGCTGCTGCTGTTGCTGCGAAGCAACAGCAGCAGCAAGAGCTGGATCAGCAAGAACAGCAGCAGCAGCAACAGCAAGAGCATACCGAAAAGCGACAGGAAGACGAGCAACAGCAGCAGCAGCAGCAGCAGCAGCAGCATCTGCAGCTGCAGCAACAGCAGCAGGTACGGCTGCAGGTACGTGAGGCAGCAGCAGTTTGGAGCAGCAGCAGCATTTAAAGCAGAATTGCACGCGGGTAGTAAGGCTGCTGCTGCTTCTACTGCTGCTGCTGCTGCCGTTGCGGTCCTGCTGCCGTGGCTGCTGCTCCACTTCTTGCTGCCAGCACTCTTGCTGCTGCTGCTGCTGCTGCTGCTGCTGCTGCTGCAGCGGCAGGCGAGAGAAGATGATGGCCTGCAGCGGCTGCTGCTGGTGGTACTTTCCACTCTGGAAAATCTCTGTGAGGAGGAACAGTGAGCGCTGCTGCCGCTGCTGCTGCTGCTGCTGCTGCTGCTGTTGTTGCTGCTGTTGCTGGTGAGCTGCTGCTGCTGCTGCTGCAGTTCTGCCAGCATTGCTGCCTCCTTGCAGGCTCTGCTGCTGTTCTGCTGCTGCTCGTGCTGATGCTACATTTTTGGCTGGGCTCTCCTGTAGCGGATTTGCTGTTGTTGCTGCTGCAGCCGCTCTTGCTGCTGCTGCTGCTGCTGCTGCAACTGGCGGTCTGGTGCCGCTGCTGCAGCTCGCAGTGCTGCTGTGCGCCCTCTCTAGCTGCAGCAGCAGTTTTGGCGGTCTGCTGCTGCAGCACTGAGGCGCAACTTTCTCAAAAGGGTCTTGCTGCTGCGCTGCTGCAGCTGCTGCTGCTTCAGCAGCAACAGCTGCAGCAAGCCACTTTGCAGCTGCTGCTGCAGCTGGCAGCCTACAGAGTCAACAAAGACGCCTTAATTCTGGCAGGTGAGGAGCCTCTTGTATGCAGCGTGGCGAATGCCAGCAACAGCAGCAACAGCAGCAGCAACAGCAACAGCAACAATACCAGCAGCAGCAGCAGCAGCAACAACAACAACAGCAGCAGCTCAGTTAGTACATATCTCGCACATGTTTGTGCGTGCGGCTCTTGAGACGAGCAGATGCTTGCCCCTTGCTGTGTACACTGCTGGCCAGCAGCAGCAGCAGCAGCAGCAGCAGCAGCAGCAGCCGCAGCAGCCGCAGCAGCAGCAGCAGCAGCAACCAGTTATTGCTGCTGCAGCTGGTGCGTGTACTGGCGCACGATCAAGAGGCGAGGAGACAGTTCTTGCGACGGGGCCTCATCCAGGTCCTGGCTCAGCTAGCAGCAGCAGCAGCAGACTCAGCAGCAGCAGCAGCAGCAGATGGAGCAGCAGCAGCAGCAGACGAAGCAGCAGCAGCATCAGAAACAGCAGCAATTTCAGAAAGCCAACATGTAAGCAGGATTGGACTGCTATGTTATAGCCTTAATAGGACCATATTGCAGCAGCAAGTGACCAGCTAGCTAGCTAGCTAGCTAGTTAGCTAGCTAGCTAGCTAGCTAGCTAGCTAGCTAGCTAGCTAGCTAACTGGATGGCCGGCTTAGAGGATCGTTACCGAATCGGCTGGCTGGAGGATTAACCTCTTCATTTGGCTAGATAGCTAGGCTTTTTTTGGCTAGCTGACTAGGCAGCTAGCTAGCTGGCTAGCTCGCTGCCTAGCTAGCTAGCTAGCTAGGCAGCTAGCTAGCTAGCTAGGCAGCTAGCTAGCTCAGTTACTCACTTCTAAGACCCAGGTGCTGCTGCTGTTGTTTGGGCCCTCAAA